AGCAGAGATTACAGAATGAGACATCAGCTAACGTGTACCCTGGCAACGCCTACCCACACAGAGCTAGACTGGTCGCAAAAAGAGCACAAGGTAACTCCACAGAGTGGTCGTTTGGAGTGACAAACATAAGAGACATCGTGAACAACTCGTGGAAGCTATGCATGTCCTTGTGATAGAGTGGAAGAATAACATGGATGAGATACCAGTAGGCGTCGAAATTATCACCCGGGTAGGGAAGGGCGGGAAAATAGAATTATGCAGCAATCCTGCGGCAAGCAGGGAATAGGTGGTCGACGAAATTTGTAGAGGGGATATGGATGCTAGTGGGGCACACATTCCAAACATATAGGGGGTCGAGTTTTATTCCTCTATCCTCCCATCTTCTCCTGTCCTACCATGTATCCCTTGGAAGCTCTCGCTAGTTGGCGAGATGTTTCCACCTCCTCCCACACCCTCAGCCCTCGCGCCCAATGTGCTTTGTCCACCATCCAGTCGGCCAAGTCCCTCATGGAGAAGTTGTCTTCGTCATCATCAGCATGGGACAGGCTTCTTTCTCCTCTCAATCTCCTCACCTTCAAGGTCCTCACGGTAGTCATGGTGAAGCAGAACAGCTCTGATACTCTCGCACATCTGCTCATGATACAGCCATCATCAGCATCATCTCCATCACCTCCATCACCCATATCATGAATAAACGCATCACCACCACCACCACCACCACCACCACCACCACCACCACCACCACCACCACCACACCACCACCACCACCACCACCACCACCACCACCACCACCACCACCACCATCATCATCATCATCATCATCATCATCGTCATCATCATCATCATCATCATGCGCAGCAGCAGCACCATCACCACTATCACCTGCAATTGAGCCAAGAGAGATGCGGGCATATCAAAATCGAACAAGATTCTCCCCTGCTCTTCGTCAGAATCTTCTCTCTTCCTCCCTCTCTAGCTCCTAAACTTCCATCTCCTCTCCTCTCCTCTCCTCCCCCCCTCTCCATTCACCTGAAAGCCTATGGGGCAGCTAGAGTTTCCCTCCGGCAGAAGCACGTTGGTAGCAAACAGCTCATGTTCGAGGCTGTAGATCGACATCCGCGTGATCTGACTGCGGAAGTTGACGTTGAGCGGGACCATGGAGAAGCCCTGGGACTGGATCCATCCGCTCCTAGGAGGAGACAACAGTATCTCCATCCTCTCTCTCCTAAACATCTTCACAGGGTCCAACTGACCCACTGACTCTATCACCTCTTCCCATCCCCTCCCCTTGTCCAGCGCGTCTGCCGCCTCCTCCAGCCCCTTGGGCGTGTACCACACAAGCGAGAACCTTTCTCCTTGGAAGGGGCGCGTCCAGTGTAGCTGTAAACCCAGTCAGTCAGGACGGAACAGTGGAAAAAGTATCCCTCCAACCTCCTTCCAGCCGTCGAACTCGAGCGGCAGGTACCGAATGTTGCGCTTCCTTCCCTCGACCATGAGCTCCCCGCCCTCGAAGTCTCCCAGCGCCACGATGAGCGACTTGCTCTGCCCGGCTCCTGCCCCCGAGTCCTTATGCGGCACGAACTGAGCATTCCTGTTGACGGTGACGGTGGTGCTCGATGTTCTAGAGGGGGCGATCTTTCCTTCCAGGCGCGTAAGCGCGTCCAGCAGGGAGGGGAACAAGTGGGTTGTGTGCGGAATGCGCAGAGGAGGAGGAAACAAGCCTATCGTGAAGCTGTCGCTCAACGTCTCCTCCTCGCTTCCTCTGATAATCATCCTTCTCCTTCTTGAGGTTCCCGGCCAGGAGCCATTCCGGCTGATTTGTCTCAGCATGTGCAGAACCTCCATGTATTCTGCTGGCACATCGCTCGTAGTCATCTCATGGACATCAACTCTTGTTCCAGGTTCGCTCCCTATACTACACACAAGTACAGCTTTACCAAGAGATCTTCTTGCCCTCCTATCAAAATCTGCCTTTGTTGCTGGCAAGGAATGCAGCATATGAGCTAACGGAGGTGTTGAGATCCATCCTGGCGCTGGTTTGACCATGATGAACCCATTAGATACTCCTGCCGCCATCATCGCCGCCATCATCGCTGCCATTGTTCCCCTCCCCATCGTCATGGCCTGCATCACGGCCTGTACATCATTGGCCCCCGATCAAACCTTTGACCACCCGTCACCCCCACCCCCGAAACACTTATGAAAACACCAGGTTGTAGTAAGGGATATTCTTTCAGAGGGTAGGGGTGATTGGATCTGTACCATCACCGGTATGTTATACTACAATGGGATAGGTAGGGGTATTTAAAGTCAAAAGGGGTGGGTACCTGATGGGAACCGGATTGAATAAATTGAGTTGAGGCGGGCTCGGGGTCACCAGACAAGAAGGCGCAACCCCATGGAAGAATGGGGGTAGTGTAAGGGAAAAATGGGGGTACCGAGGTATCGGACAAGGGGGTAGTTGACGAGGTGCAACCAGAAAGCTGGAAGACCAGAGCAGGTTTGCTATGGCACCAGCGCTGGTACCGCTAGCGCGTGTCCATGGAGGGGGAGGGAGGGGGAGGGAGGAAGAAGCAAGCATGAGAGAAGACACAGACGATATCGTTGTAACGCTGTGCCCGGAAGCCGTGGAGGTTCTGAGGGAGTCAAAGGGCCCTCTGTGCATACTAACGAACATGGGGATATTCGGTAACCCTAAGGTCAGCCTACTCCCCCTCCTCCCCTTCCCTTGCCTCATCTTGAATTGTTTTGATTCTATCTTGCCTTTATCTCCGTCGTGTTACCTGTTCCCCTTTCCTTGCTCCGTGATCCTTTTACGCGATGTGCCGCCTGATCCTGATCCGGTCCATGAACAGCAGGACATTGTAATGCGGACGCTGCTCTCAGAGTCGGCATGCAACTCCGACTATGCAGATGCGAGGGAGGCACAGGATGATGACGTTATCATCTCCATGTGGACCCAGCCCTTCCCTGCTCGATCCTCTGACGGCGTCGAGGTTCTGCTGTATGTGCTGGAGATGAGTGAGGTCCCTGGCGACAGCCAGCGCACTAGGGAGGTGCTTTTCACGCTCACCCTCCTGCTGAGCTCCTTCGTCGTCTGCAACATCAGGGGAGGTCTGTCTAGAGACGTCCTCAACTCCTTCTGGCTGGACGTGTCGAACTTCCGCCGATCCATTAGGACTGACCTCGACGGTGCCGACGGGTACGACGACGATCTGGACTTATCTGAGATCATGCCGAAACTGCTGTGGATCTTGAGCGGGACCTCTGTCAATCGTAGAGGAGAGGAAGCGTCCAAGGTGCTGTCGTCGAAGCAGTACATGGAGAGAGCGTTTGAAGAGTTCGACGTCTGCCTCAAGCGAGATGCTCGGTCGGAGAGGGCGCAGGGCGGGTTGTGCCATCTTTTCCCCGATCGCGATTGTTTTCACGTCGAGAAGAACATGCTTTCAGAGAGCATCTTGACTGAGATGTCGGACAACTCGACCGACTCGATATCCTCTCTGAATGGTGAGGAGAAGGTTGATAGCGATGTTTGTTCACCTTGGGATCATGCAGATATCGTGAAGAAACTTGGAGTGCTGCGAGACAAGATCTTGTTGAATGCAGAGATCAAAAGGATTTCAGGATGCATTGTGAGAGAAGCCATGGGTGATTGCGGATGAAAACTCACTCCACTGCCAGGTGACGGGGACGCTGTTTGTTTCACTTGCCGAATATTACATCTCGATGCTGAATTCATGCAACACTATAAGGTAAAGAAACCTGCTCATTACTTTTCATTGCAAAGATGCTGATGCCAATGTTTAAGCATTCCTGATGCTTTTGGAGCAATCTCGCAGAGTGCTTGTGAGAGGGCGAACTCGGTGAAGTTGACGGAGGGTTTGTGTTCGAAGTCTTGACTAGCAGTGCAGAGGTGTATAGACGGCTATGAAGAAGCCTTTCTGAATCTACGGGGAAAACTGCCTCTGGACTCAAGCGAGATTTCATTTTGGTTGGTTATGTGATGATGTGCTTACTTGTGAAGAACAAGTCGATGGAAATGGGGAGAGGGAAGGATGGAAAAGGAAAGTTAGGAGCAGCAGCAGCAGCAGGAGGAGGAGCAATAGAAGCAGGAGTAGGAGGAGCAGCATGAGCAGGAGGAGCAGACCTGGGGCGAAGGAAAGAGTGACAAGAAGGATCAGATCGAGGTTCGGGGGGAGCGAGTGCTCACTGTGGTGCCCAGGCACATGTCAGCCTCTCGTGATGCCATCGACGTGTACAAGACGTGGACGAGCGGCCTGCAGGTCATCAGAGGCGTGTTGCTGCCTGAGTTTGAAATGGCGTGCAGAAGCAGAATGTCAATCGATACAAGCTGCAGCTGGAGGAGAAGCTCAAGGTTTGACCCTCGGGGTTTGAATCTCAGCTGAGCATGTCGGTATCAGACCCTGTTTGAAAGAGTTTCTGCTGAGAACGCAAAGATGTGCGAGCAAAAATCGCTGAAGATTATCAATGAGCTCTACAGGTTCAATTGTCCTGCACACTTGGCATGTAGACTGAATGCTCTTTCAGAGAGCTGGAGGAAAAAATCCACAGCAATGTCTATCAAGACTTCGGTGAATACGATCGTGACCGGAGAAGGTGTGGATGCGAGTCAGAGTTGTGAAAGCTAACGCTGCTGCTCGTCAAGAGTTCGTGCTAGGTTTTTCGAGCTAGCGCCAAAGCATCCCTCGGCTCTTGTGGTACGTGTACACATGTGTTGAGTACAGGAGGTCGAAGCAGTGAAAGAGCAGGATGTAATGGACTCTTGCTTTCAATTGACTGTCGTTACAAGGTCATTCACGAGTTCATGGAAGACGCAGTTTGCTCGGTTGCAAAGAGGTTCATCAACAAGTTATCTCTGCAAGTGCAAGAAAACGAGTCAAGGAATGCTCTCTGTTGATCCACTTGGAGATGACGACGGTTCACAGACAAGAGTTTGAATCTGAACAACAAAAGCTTGAAGTCTCCGAGATCAAACATCGCGCGGAGATGCTGGTTGGACATTCTAGAAGCCTTCCTCACCCCCCTCACTCTGATTCGTAGGAAAAGTCGTTACATGAGAGCCAGAGGAGAGAAAAGGAGGCGCGGGAGGTGAAGTCTCGATAACGGTCAGTTCCATTTGGACAAGTTGTGACACGTTTGCCGAAGAAACTTGCCAAAGAGAAACAAGTGCATGCTACAGAACTGGAAGAGATCGGCCAAGTGACTTTGTTGTTGTTGGCTTGCCCTGTCTGAGAGCATAAAACGTCAGGTGCAATCAAGAGTCTTGAAAGAAACTTTGTTAGAGTGCGAGGAAATCAAGAGAATGAAGTCTGAGACTGATCTACAACTCACTCATGCGATGGAAAAGATTGAAGAGCTGACAGAGTGGAAACAAGTAAAGCTCTCTCTTCATGTTTTTCTCCATCTTTTCTCGCTGTCTCTTGTTCTGTTTCAACCTGACCTGCAGCTCTCTCCCGCCTTATTTCTCTATGCTAACATAAAAAGCAGATGAACAACTCAAGTGTAGTCTGGCAGACTTTGGACTCAAGACGATCTCAATCTTTGGAGGTGAGGATTTCTTTGCAATTTTCTTGACATAACTGACAAGATACTGTTTTCCCTTACCCTACTGATCTCCTCCTCCTCCTCCTCCTCCTCCTCCTCCTCCTCCTCCTCCTCCTCCTTGATTGCACTCTGGTCACTCCAACTGTCCCCGTCATTTTCTCGTCCTTGCTCCCTACAATCTATTGCCCATCCTCAGGGTGCAAACGAAGTCGACTTTCTTCTGCACCGATGCTCCTCTTGCTGCTCTGACATGGAACAGACCATGTTGCACATCTCAAGTCTCTTCGACACCTCCTGCTTCTCCCCTCCTCCCAGGCCGAGGGCTGTCCAAGAGGACAAGACAGCGAGCGCTTTGAATCAAACTTGCAACTCAACTGACAAGTGGGCCAGCAACGTGGTGGCAGCCCGCGACCTTCAAGGCCAGCTCGAGTCAGTGGGCGAGCAGCTCCTAAACCTCCGCATGCTGCTGTCGCAGGATCGCAAAAAGACCCAGGACGTGGTTGCGTCCAAGTTTGAGAACCCCAGGAGCTCCGACGACGAGATCCAGTGGTTCACCCCGCTCAAGATTGAGAGGGCTGCTGAGGAGGAGACGCCGCGCGCGTCCAGCCAGAGAGGAAGAGGCGATGCGGGGAGAGAAGAACAGCAGGGAGCTTGTCGCCTCCAGATGTCTGCGCTGCAGGAAGATGAGATCCAACCCGATGGAGAGACCGCCGTGCAAGAGGAGGAGAGCCGCCGACAGGAGGAGGTTCACCAACAGGAGGAGGAGGTTCACCAACAGGAGAAGAAAGAGGAGGTATTGGAAAGCTCCGCTCCTTACCCGGAGCAGCACCGTCAGGAGCATGAAGCGGCGAACAACCTGCGCCAGGACGCGCCGGCGCCTGCTGAAGGACCTCGAGCTCAAGTCAGCCATGCAGATCAGCAAGCAGCCGCTGCGTCCTCTCCTTCACCAGCGAGCACAGCCCTAGCAGCTCACTCGATCCCTTCGGACCCCACAAGGCAGACACCGCGAGCTGCTACCCAGGCGACTCCGTCGTTTGACAGGTCAGCGGACAACTTGAGCTACATCCTCCACAGCCCAGAGATCAGCTCGTCCCCAGCTCCACCAGTCCGAGGCAGCTCGTCCCCAGCTCCACCAGTCCGAGTCAGCTCGCCCCCAGCTCCACCAGTCCGAGGCAGCTCGTCCCCAGCTCCACCAGTCCAAGTCAGCTCGTCCCCAGCTCCACCAGTCCGAGGCAGCTCGTCCCCAGCTCCACCAGTCCAAAGCAGCTCGTCCCCAGCTCCACCAGTCCAAGTCAGCTCGTCCCCAGCTCCACCAGTCCAAGTCAGCTCGTCCCCAGCTCCACCAGTCCAAGTCAGCTCGTCCCCAGCTCCACCAGTCCAAGTCAGCTCGCCCCCAGCTCCACCAGTCCGAGTCAGCTCGCCCCCAGCTGAGGCCCTGCAGGAGTTGCTCTTCGCCCGCATTGAGACTCTCGAGCGATCGCTGGCTGACCTCCAGCAAGTCTCAGCAGAGCCTCCAGCTGACATGTCAAACCTGGTGGTCGGGTAAGCTCAACCTGCGCTTGTCAAAATTTTCGCTCACAGCTTGTCCAGCTGCCGCGTCGACCAGTCGGTCGATCACTTCGAGAACGGGAAGAGGCTGACCAAGTACCGCACGAGCGTCCTGCTTGCCAACGGGCAGATCTTCACGCTCGAGAAGCGATACAGGTGAGCTGAGAAGGCAACGACTCTGCCCAGCAGGAGCTCACCACTTCCTGTCAGCGAGTTCCTTGAGCTTTACAACAAGCTGACCGTCATGTACCCGCAAGTCCCGATGCCTGCTGTTGCCAAGGTCCTTGCTCCTGCTCGTGCTGGGGGTGGAGGGAGAGGAAGAGCTCTAACGAGGCAGCAGGAGTTGTTCGGAGGAATGCGCTCGTCGACCTGGTTCCATAGGTTCGACCCCGACCTGATCGAATGCAGAAAAGTCTGGCTGAACGAGTTCATGTCCACTCTCATCAAGGTGCTTTCACTGTCTCCTCTCCCTCTCTTTCTGTCCCTCACTCTTCCCTTCTCCCCTCCTCCCTCCCAAACACTGCTCCCTTCCTCTCTCCCCTTCCCTGTCGCTCCCTCGTCATCCTCTCCCTCCTCCCTCTCCCTCCTCCCAATCCCCTCACCTTCCCCATTCTTCACTCCCTCCCCCTTCCTCCCCGTACTCTTCCCCTTTCCCTCCCTCCCTGTCTCTCTCCCCGCTTCTCTCACTCTCCTTTCCCACTGCTTTGCCTCTTTCCATCCTCCTAGACCTGTTCTGACTGTCAGCAGCTGCCAATGATATCGACGAGTCGGATTTTGCATGGGTTTCTATCCACCATCAACTTCATCAACTCCCCGAAAAAAGTTTTCAACGTCTCTGGTGACCCGCCCAATCACGCTGAAGGTGTCTAGAAATCTACACCAGCTTCTCCTCCTCCTCCTCCTCCTCCTGCTCCTCCTCCTGCTCCTCCTGCTCCTGCTCCTGCTCCTGCTCCTTTTCCTCCTCTACTTCTTCCACTTCTTCTTCCTCCTCATCCTCCTCCTTTCCCGGCGGTCTCTTCTTCCTGTTCCTCCCTTCGCTCGCTTCTCCTGACCGTAACTCCAACAGGAGGCTCGCAGCCATCCTCGGGGAAGAGAGAACGGCCAAGTAGCGGAGGAAGAGGTATGGCAGCAGGCGTCTGCAATGGTGGGGGCTGATCGTGAAGACAGGAGGAGACAAGGTGGATGGGATGAGCAAGCAGAAGGCTCAAGACTCAGGGGACGAGCGGTCGCTGAGCAAGGACTGGGTGCTGGTCCATGTCAACAAGAAAGCTCCTGCCATGCAAGACAAGAGCGCGGCGAGTGCCTTGCGTGAGAGGAATATGCAGCAGCAGCAGCAGCAGCAGCAGAGACAGGGAGAGAACGGTTTTGACCGGGGGACTGAGTAACTGGATTGAGTTTTAAACGAATGTTGCGAGAACAAGCCACATCTAAAGTCTTACTTGGAAGATTGTCTTCAACGAGCGAGCTACATGTAAAGTCTTACCTGGATGATTGTCTTCAATCAATCATCAACCCCCCTCTTAGCTCAACAACTTCAACGACCTTGATGTTCATGAATTAGATGAGAGTCCCAGCAGAGCGCTCTTGCCCCTCTTTTCCTGCTTCCACCCCCTTCGTCCTCTTTCTTTCCTGGTTTGTCCCTCCACCCTCAATTCATCACCATCCTATCCTCTCCCTCCTCCCTCCCTCAATGCTGTCCTCCTTGCTCTTCCTCCGTCCATCCTTCCTCTCACTACGTCCCTCCTCCCTCCCTCCCTCCTTTTCACTCCCTCCCTCCTCCTCCCTCCCTCCCTCCCTCCCTCCTCCCTCCCTCCCTCCCTCCCTCCCTCCCTCCTCCTCCCTCCCTCCCTCCCTCCCTCCCTCCCTCCCTCCCTCCATCCATCCATCCTCTCCCCTCTTCTCTTCATTCCTCCCCCTCTCCCCCCTACCTCTCCTTTCGTATTTTTTCGATTGACCTAGTCAAGATCGCCTGCTCTTTGAAAGGCAAGACGAGGGGGCAGCGGCAGTGACGAGTGGAAAGAGAGGAGAGAGTGGGAGCGAGCAAGAGAAAGCTTCTCTTCCTTGTCATTTCTGCTCCTCAGCATCCAGACGGCAACAGCATCTCATGGGCAACGAGCAGAGCAGCAGCGTGAGCAGAGAAGAGCGAGCGTATGCCATGAACAACCCTCCTCCTCCTCAGGCTCGCATCTCAGCCAAGGGCGTCAGCTTCACGGGGACTGAACTCATCCCTCAGCTCCCTGCTAGCGACGACGTCAGTGCAGATGCCACAGGAGCCAGCAAGAACTGCATCCTGGTAGTTATCACCCGACTGGGCAACCCAGCAAACCAGCGGATCGGTATGGTGCTATGGCAGAACGGAGTGGTGCATGAAATGCACTATACGTCCGACCTGGGCTGGGACGATGTGTTCCCAGCGCTGTCCTCGAGCAAGAGCGGCATCTCGTTACCCATCTTCATCCAGCAGGGGAACGTGTGGTGGGGGCTAACGGAGGAGGAGTTTGACAACATGGCCATCACCTGGAGGGGTAACCAGAGTGAGAGCGGGAGGCTGCAACAGGCAAAACTCTGCATGAAGAATGCTTTCTTCAGGAGACCAGCTGAATGATCAACGACGACGAGGGGGCAATGAGGAGGGGCAGGAAGGAGGGCAGGGATGAGAAGAGAGCAGGCAGTAGAGGAGAGCAGGCAAGGGAGGAGTCTTGATCTCGAGGATGGGCGTCCTGCGACGTTGTCTCCTCACACGACGAGAGCCATGGCTTGCGCTAATCGTTCTATTTACAACTTGTTTCTATCTGCAAGAACCCTCATAATGCACCCAACTCCCGCTTTCTCGGTGAGAATCGCATGCCACTTGAGCAGAGAGTTGCAAGCCTCTACCTCCTCCAGCCCTCGGTAGAGGTACTTCATCAGCACATCCTGCTCCTCCCCCGACAGCTCGTCGATCACACCGGCGATCTCCTTCTCCTGCACTCCTTGAATGGCCTTCACCACAACCTTCATGCTCGACTTCTGGCGGCTCTTCTTCAGCACACGAAACTCCTCTCCTCCTCCTCCCCTCACCCGCACGTCTGGCGATTTGGCGCTGTAAGGAGGATCGGTGAGAGCTGCCTTGAGGGCTGCGGAGGGACGGGAGAGCAGCTGCAGGACCTGCTTCTCGCGCGCTTGGATAGCGACACGATGTTGTTCATCTTCGGACGGCATCGTCTACTCTGGCGAAATGAGTGAAAAACTTGTTCAACGCCCTTCAGTTCCTCTGAATACATCTACTTTCCTCTGTTAACATCTACTTTCCTCTGTTTACATCTACTTTCCTCTGTTTACATCTACTTTCCTCTGTTTACATCTACTTTCCTCTGTTAACATCTACTTTCCTCTGTTTACATCTACTTTCCTCTGTTTACATCTACTTTCCTCTGTTTACATCTACTTTCCTCTGTTTACATCTACTTTCCTCTGTTTACATCTACTTTCCTCTGTTTACATCTACTTTCCTCTGTTAACATCTACTTTCCTCTGTTTACATCTACTTTCCTCTGTTTACATCTACTTTCCTCTGTTTACATCTACTTTCCTCTGTTTACATCTACTTTTCTCTCCTCTTCTACTGCTGGACTTCTATTTTTCTTGGAGTACACCATCCTCTTCACTCCCCATGTCCTACCAAAGTTCTTCCTCGGGCCCAAACGGTCAATTCTAGCTGACAGCTGCAAACTTGTGTTTTGAAAAGGATATGGTGAGGAAGTGTAGGTATCAGCATCAGCCAGCAAATATCCAGGGCCATCATCCTCATCAACAACAACAAAAACAAAACAGCAGCAGCATCAACGGCATCAACGGGTATCAGCATCAGCATCACCACCACCGCCGCCACCACCAGCAGCAGCACCAGCAGCACCAGCAGCACCAGCAGCACCAGCATGGAAACCCTATCTATAATGCTCACAACGAAACTAGAACGAGAAAACTTCATCAAAATACAACGAAAATCCTGCCACGTCATTTTTCTTCGATTTATCTCCTGCGGATGAAAACTCTTATACAAGGACATCATCTCAGCTTCTCAGCACACTACATAATGCACTCACTGTCTCACATACATTCTTTCCTGACCTCGCTTCCCGAACTCCTTCGAGCATTCCCTACGTCTCACAGGAAGTAGATCGGTACCCTTCCTTTTTGAGCAGGCCAGACAACCAGCAGAGCATGTCTCCCCACACTTTCTCATCATGTCCTCTTCCTCTACCAGCATCACTTGCTCTCTCCTGCCGTTCTAGTTCATCCCACGCCTTCGCCCTCCTCCTCTCGCCCGACCCCCGCGCGAAGGCTCTGGGAAGCATGGCCCGGGACAGCACCAATGCCTGCTTGCAGACACTACCCGGTCCTTCTAGAATCAAGTACCCGTACTTTGAAAAGCCCGTGATGCCCCCGCCCTTCGCTGATATCAAAAGTAGCAGAAAAGTACTGCCTCCTCTAATTAAAACAAATTATCCTGAGGCAGGCTCGATATGTAGGCGGGTCCGGCCCGGCCGCCGGCCCGGAACTGAGAGTCGGAGCCTGAGCCTTCATTATCCGATTGAATGCCCGGCCATCATGCATGCCAGTCCGATCACTGTGGGCGGGCGGCCCCGGCGCCCGGCGCCGCACACTGCGGCGGCAACACGGATCATGTTATGAAATGATTCACGGTACTTGACAGTGCCCGGAGGCTATCAAATGGTCCCGAAAAGGCCCGAGCTTAGGCTTCATAACTGTTGACTCCTTTACTCAAAGTTAAGTTAGTAACTTAAGTACGGTATCACAATGATGGCTTCCGATATGCTTGCCAGCGATGATCATGACAATAAAAACACAACTATGATTAAGAACAAATACAAAAAATTCAATGACTGAGGCACCCCCCCAGGTTGTGGGTCCGCAAACAAACACGCGGAACAACTTCGGAATAAAAGAAAAACCGAGAGAAATGAGATTATGAAATTCCAGACGTCCCAGGCTTTCAAAGGAGCATCATTGTCATATATTTCTGCATAGATGAGTCCTCCTCTCTCCCGTCTGTGATGCATGTCCGCCATTGCTCTAGCGTCTGCACCTCCGGCCAGTGAAGATAGTCCGATATGCAGCAGCCGGGCAGTTGAGTGCTCCCCTTCCTCTCCTGCCTTCTGCTGTTGTCCAAAGCTGCCTCACGCTTCTGCTCACTCCCCATCCTATCCTGCTGTATCCCCCACTCATCTCCCAGCCTGCTCTCCTCCATGCTCAGAAACTCCATTCCGCCATTGCCCACACCCTCCTCCACTTGATCGCCCAGCAGCTCCGACAGGCTGCACGTATCCTGATCTCCCTCCCACGCGCCATGCACAGGATACTCGTCTTGGCACTCGAGCTCCTCCTCCCCTTCCTCCAAGTTCATCCAGACAGCGGTCTCCTCTTCTGCCGAAGACATGCAGCATGCTTCTGGCGAGCCTGCCCCCTCTTCGCATCCGCTTCCTTCCGTGGTAGCTGAGCCCCTTGGCCGCTGGCGTGAGTATGGCCACCTCCAGATCCCCAGCCTCCTGCATGCATTTTTCATCGCCGTCAACGATATGCCCAGCGTGCGAGCTGCATCACTCTGCCGGAGATGAAAGAGACCCTTCACGTCCTTGAGCGTCAGGGAGAGCGAGGTACTGTTGCTGCGCTCGAGCTCTCCCTTCTTCCTCCTCGGAAAGACTTTGGCTCTGACGTTGTTGGTCCTGGCACCCTTGACAGGCTTCTTGAATCGGGCGGAGGCGTCGCGAGGGCTCTTCTTCTTGCCGAACGGGATGTTGCATTTGATGACAGCCTCGAAGCTTGCGGCGAGAGGGCTGACGATGGACTTGTTGGTAGGGAAGGGACGAGACTTCATGTCAAGCATTCGATCAAGATGCTCTGAACTTGTAGAAGTGTTGTGAAATCTAGGAGAATAAGCCGCTGATGTCTTGACTGGGGCAGAGATACGGCTTTAGACAAGAGAACAGTTTTGCCGTTTTGCCAGCTGAGGGTGTCTTCGCAGTACACCTTGAGTTGCAAGGAGCTGGTGAGCTTGAGGCGACAAGTGTTGGCGATGACGAGAGGGGGGGGGGGGAGGAAGTGGGAGGGAGGACGAAGGTGAGAGGCGCAAGACTAGCAGGGCGTCTGAGACGACAGGGACCCGACGCCACGAGAGCTAGCAGAGCGTGTGGAACAACGAACGTGTGTAAAGCCAGAGGCAGTTTGTGGAGGTAGGAGGTAGGAGGATATGGCTTTTACACTATGCGAGAATTAGGAAAAAGGAGAGCTATGGGGGGTGGCAGTGAGGGTGTCAGCCGGTTCAGAGATGACGGAGGGACTTATGGCCCTAGGGGTCCTTTTCCATGCCTGGAGGCAGAAAGTCGTGAACAGGGTGGGTGGGGGGAGGGTACAGAATTGAAAAGTTTACTTGTGAAGGATTGTTTTTTTCCTGTGAACGTACTGCTCCGATCTCAAAGATCTCGATATCCAAAAAATGTATTTTCGCCTACGTGCGCAGTCATCTTCACGTGACCCAGTCTTGCTCCTGCTTCCAGTGTCATCGATTTACCTTTAGACCCCGAAACCCCCCAACACACACCCACACCCAACCCCACCCTTTCTCCCTCTCCCTCTCCCTCTCCCTCTCTCCCTCCCTCCCCTCTTCATTCTCAACCTTGGCTCACCTCCCAGTCCCATCTTGACCCTCTAGGATCAAACTGCCACCAAGGGGAAATACTAGACTTTTTCTGATCTGTCGTTCTGCTCTCTAGTACTTGGACTAAGCTTTTGCTCAATGTTTTTAGTTGCATCAGACGCGTATGACTATAGGCTCTTCGTATCCGATAGACTGCCTTTATTTATGCCGTTCTTTAAAAAACTGAATGAAGTGAAATTACAAAGATGCCAACAACGAGCTTCTAGTTGGATGCGGACAGAACGAAGTTTTGTTCATCATTTGACTCTTCACTGTATTGAAGGCTTGGGAAAAGGTCTTGATTTGGTTCCTGATCCATGTATTCAATTAAAATGGATTGGATTCAAACTTTCAATCATACTCTGATCGTTCTTCGGTCAAACCAGATTTCTGGTGGAAAAGCATATCACAAGATCGCCAGACTGGTATGAAGTATGCTCACAGTCATTCATTGAGAAATCAACATCTTGTTGCCCCTTTGCACTATCGGGTAGAGCTTCATTTTCTCCCAACTGTGCTGATGCGCTCACTCCACGGACCTGGTCCGGTATGAGGCCATAGATCCCACTGAAACGCAACGCCAGGAGTACCGGAAGTCAGTTACACCGGGTACCTGCTTACAAACTTGCAACAAACAGCATGACTCTAACGTAGATCATCACAACAATAATGAACTTTGTGACTGTAGTTTCAATTTAGCTCCTCAAGATTGACTGTACCACAAGATGTCAACAGTGCTGACAGTGTCAGAGTAGCGGCCATCCGGACGAATGCCGAGGGCCGGGCGTACCGTTGAGATACTGGTTTAGGGAGACCGCAACGGATCACGTCACGTCCCGCTGAGTGACTGACGTGACGTCACGTCGCGGCCGGCAGTCCGGCTGACGGCATCGAGCTCATTATATCGAGAGAGCCGGAGTACCGTGTGACACACTAAACAGGAATCACTTCACTAGTAGCACTATTACATTGGGGATCGGATCACAATCTTGGATCCGACTATCACACACTGGCAGGTCTTATTACTGGTCGTTAACTTTTCCTTTGTTTTTTGCGGCACGCGGATGGTTTTTTTAGGGCGTCACGGCGCGGGGGTGCTGTAAGGCTCCTTGTGTAGGTCATCTCGGTCTCGCTAGAGTCGCAAGGTACTGGGAGCTTCAATGGGAACATGGGGGCTACTCGGAGGGGGTTGTTTCTTTATGACGTGTGGGGTACAGCGGGTGGTGGGGTGGAGATCCATTATAATGGATGTTTTAAGGTCATGGATCACACGGAATTCCTCCGAGGAAGGGGGGCGGTGTACCCGGACCCCCATTTTGAATATCAAATGTACCGGTGATAGGTCGCACGTTCCACGAGCAATGGAGGATCAGCAACTGAACCCCTTAATTGAGTTGTGTAGGGGATAATGATCCATGAAATGACACCGAGAGTACCCGGTACATACGAAATTTCAAGCACCCCCACCCCTTCCCAAATCCAATGAAAAACTCAAAAGAGCTGTGTTCGTACTTTGTGTTTCGTACCGGTACTTTCCTCGTGACGTACTGTGGGTATAGGTGGGGTACAAACCTGATGCTGACCCGGGACGTACTACGTACCTGGCGCCCGACCCAGACGCTTGTTCAAGTGCCCGCGCTTGGTCCTCCTCGTCATCGCCCAGCTTGTTCTGCTCGCCTCTGACGCCCTTGCCGAACAAGGCTTCTCCACTACTCTCAGATCATCGATACTGCTGTTATCAGCATTATTGGTGCTCCCCGTCGTCGGGTTTTCTGCGTTGGGCTCGGTGGTTTCATACTCGTCTTGCTCACAGGAAGCTCGATTTCGAAACCAGACTTTGTGGCATCGCCGCCTTCATAGTCCAGTCAGGCCTCGCAAGTTGTTGGAGCAAAGAAGGTGCACACGGGATTGTTTGTGAATATTCAACATTCTCTCCTTCGTGTATCACGGCTTCTCTATCGACCAGGACAGCTTTGTCCTGTCGATAGAGCACGCCTTTGGGTCGGACTCTCTCAACATGATCAGTGAGCAGAACCAAGAGTCGGATGACAAAAATCGAAGCCCAGAAGAAGACTCCAACGCCGAGAGCTGCTTGTCGGAGGACAATGACGAGGATGGGGAGCTTTCCGATGGCAACAGCTCGAGGGCAAGTGAGTCCGGGCTGCAAGCTGGCGAGAACGATGGAGAGGAAACGCCGAGCAAGGGCAAGAACAGAAAGATCGCGACGTTATCATACGAGCAAATCTCGCAGCTGTTTCACCTGAAGCAAATCGACGCGGCAAGACAATTAGGAATCTCTCTGACGGCCATGAAGAACATGTGTCGGAGGGCAGGGATTTGGAAGTGGCCCTACTCAAGGAAGCGCACAGTCACACACTTCCAGGACCTTTCTTGGCTGATCAAGAGCCACGAGACAGACTCAGGCTCGGCTTCTGGGAGCAGCAAAAAGATGCCGAAAACTAAAGAACAAAGCATCTCGCCTTCCAGTCAAGTTGTGCCAATGGAATCTTCAAAGCAGGTTTCAGCCACATCGGCAGGAACTGTGACAGTCACAGTGTCCAGCCCACAGACACATACGACCTGCACTGAGAAAAAGAAGGAAGCGTTGGAGGTCGCCAGCCCCATACAAGCAATGTCGTGTCCTCCTGAGAGGCAGGGTCCTTCGATGACAATATCTGACTATCTGCACTTCGAGAATGTAAAAACCCTTGGTGACTACAGAACCATTCGATACGAGAGAAGCGCTTCGCCAGAAAGCAAGGCGACATCCAGCTCAGTCAAGCAAGAGCCTGCAAGTCCGAGTGCCGACAAAGTGCTAAAATCTTCGCCGAGAACAAGCCGCAGCCCACCTGATTCTCCGACATCGGAGGCACCTAGGATCAAGAGGCAACGCACATGAAGACAGAGTGGTGCGATGCGATGGTTGTGCATATCGAGACTTTCCCAGAGGCTTTTGTAACAATAAACTGATACACGAAATCGCGAATGATTTGAGCAGTGTTTATTCTACCGCAACACATTTTTGGTGTTCCTCCGAAACGATCTTAGTGCTCAGGATTAGGGTTTCCAGCCACGCTAACGAGGTTGATGCAGTAGCGATTGCCCTTCCTGTCACTAAAGACACGAGATGTCATCGTCCATGTCACAAGAAAGCACCAGAGATACTCACGGGAGATTGTGGCCAAGGTGGGTTCCATCTACCGAGACCTGCCAAGAATCATCACTACGACAGCTCGCCAAGCACGTCGACGAGTACAGCTTCTCCATTGTTCAAACAGCGGACATTCTCCCACACAACTTCTTCGTCTCGGAAAGAGGGCCATCCATGAGAAATGCTCTCCGCCTTGAACTCCTCAAAGGTACGTCCACGGGGGGCAATGAACAGGGGTTTCCCAGTCACCGAGTCATAGTAGGTGGTTTCCTTCTCCTTGTCGACCTCTTGAAGAAACTTGGTCGTTGTCCAGTATCCTGCGAACTCAGCGTAATGCCTGTTGAAGTTGCAGATCCTGTCTGCTGTCTCGTAGTCACAGCCCCAGCGGAGGTTCTTCATGACAGGCTTCTCGCTGGTACCATGCGCCTTCTGGCGCATGATATCTTCGCCGCCAACGATAGGATACATCCCCTGTCGAGAGAAGTCATCGGAAGTTAGCTTGTTCAGCCAGATGTTCACGCACCTTCTCGGAGGATGCTTTGCTGCTTTCACCCCCCAGCCCGAACAAACAGACGGTCCTTGTGAAAGGAGAGCGGAAGATGGTACCAGCGGTGGTCTTGGCGATCCTAGAAGTAAGACGCGCGAGAGGGAGGGGAGCAGAGAACGCCGATGCTCCTCCGATGGTCACAAGCAGAGCCGTCGCCGCTGCCGCTCGCTTGAACATGAAATGCTTCCTCCCTCAAAAGTGCTTCTTTATATCTTGAGCCACTACCCCCACCCCCTCTCTGCCCAACAACCCTGGGAGTGCAACCCCCCCTGAGCTCATTGCAAACCAAAGCTGAGGAAAGAGTACCCTATCCTTACAGACAAAATCAGTCATGTCAGCACCGGTACTATGAGTACCCCACCCCAGTAATTGCCTCATTCTTGCTCCCTTTACGCCTCATCATCAGCAGAATTTCCTCAAAACAGGTTATGAGCCTCATCGAAGATTTTAGTTGATGGCCCCCGTCGGACAGTGGCGCTGAGCCGTGACACTGTCAGTGAGGCCCTGAGTGCCGTGCCTGGGAGTCCCGCGGCCCCGAGTCGGCGGGGACCCGGCGGGCGGGGGCCCGCGAGCGGCGGACACTGGCAAGGCGAGTCGGTCGCCGTCGGCGCGGCGGCTCAGACGGCCGCCCCTCCGGGCCGCAGTGCCGCATTAGTCAACTGACCCGGCGTCTGGCGAATGGGCATGCCACGCCCGGCCGCGCGGCCCCGGCCGCCGCGCGCAGCCGCCATGGGTACTGTGACGGACGGTCCGGGGAGGGTATCGTAGTACTGTAGTATGGTACCAAGGCCTTGTGGCCCCCTCCGACTGAGAGTCTGGCAGCCCCCGCCTTAGCGGGGCTCAGCACGCGCCGCAGTGCCGACTCGGAGCGGGGGCGTGGTACTACGGTAAATTCAACGGTTAAGTTAAGTTCTGAGGCTGACGCCACTGAGAACTTGATCGCTTAACTTTACTTTACTAGTTACATCGGATCAGCCCGGCCTAGTTCCGGCGCGGCTCAGTCAGTCCTGGCAGTGCCGGCCCGGCGGGGGCTCAGAGCTGCAGGCGCCGCCGGCTGCGAGGATCAAGTCCTTGACCATCTCATGCGCTACCTCGAGCACTGAAGGCCCTCCTCCCCGTCCTGCCATGTCCGGGCTGTGCTGGAGTAGGAGCTCGACGATGCCTCGGTGGCCTCGAGCGCTCGCCCAGTGCAGGGCCGTGAGGTTGTCTGAGTCGGCTGCTCCTACATCTGATGGGGGAGAAGTCACGATGTAGCAGTTGAGGAGCGGAGAGAGCGTAGCAGGGAGGAGACAAGAAGGACTGGAGGGACACGGGGACGAGCAGGACGAGGAGGATCAGTAAGGACAACGAGGACGAGGACGAGAGGGGAAGGGGAACGAGGAGGAAGAGGAGGGCGAGGACGACGACATGCTCTCAGCAGATCAGGACACCAAAGGAGGACTCACTCGCTCTGTGATCCAGGAGGCAGCGAACGATTTCCTGGCTGCCGTTGAAGGAGGCGAGGGACAGCGGCGTGCAGCCGTTCTTATCCCTCGCATTCACATCTGAGCCAAGCAGGACCAGCAGGTTACTGATCCACACGTTGCCGTTCTTGCAGCTCAGGTGGAGAGGACTGCTCCTGTGCTGCGTCGCGGCGCCGTGCTCGTCCTCGTGCTCTGACCTGTGGAACTGCTTCCTCTCCTCCTCTAGAGCCTCGACGATCAGCGCTCGCTCCCTCTGCTTCACCTCCTTCCTCGCCAGCTGCTCGAGATCCCACCACCACTTGAAGGTCTCCGTCACCTTCACGTCCCCCAGCGACTGTCGAGCAGCTGGAGTAGCAGACTCGTGCATGTACCTGCGCTGGTGGTGAGGGAGAAAGAGGAGAGAGGCGAGGGGATGGTAGAGAGGGAAGGAGATGGAGCCACAGAAGAGAAGAGACAAAAGAAGATCGGAGCAGGGACGAAGGAGGAGGGAGCAGGGAAGAAGGAGGAGGGAGCAGGGACGAAGGAGGAGGGAGGAGGGAGGAGGGAGTAGTGGACTCTACCGGCAAACTTGCACGAAGAGCTCGAGGCGCTGAGCATGAGCTTCGACGTATCCAGGGACGCGAACCGTGCGGACGAAACTTTCAACGCCAGAGGGGAAGGTGAGCGTTTGCCTTCCCTTGTCGGAGGTCACTCGCCTGGACGAGACGATGTGAATGAACCGAAGAAATCAGGAGGAGGAGGACCAGGAGGAGAAAGAAGACCAGGAGGCAAAAAGCAGGAGGAGGACGAGGAGGACGAGGAGGAGGGAACGTTGAGGGAGAGAGGAAGACGAAGGAGCAGCGGAATGAAGGAGGAAGTTACGAGACGGTGGCAATCACCTTCCTACGAACATGATGTGCGTCCCATGAAAACTCGCTGCGATCCCCAGGGCTCGGAACCCGAAGTCACCCTGCTGCTGCTGCTGCTGCCTTCTGCAGTCGAACTGAAGGAGGGGCGGCCACTTGTCACCGGAAGCTTCCTCCGGCATCAGCCACACCCGCACGACTCCGGCCTTGCTCAACGTGAAGATCTTGGAGAACAGCCCGTCCCCTGCCATGCCAGCGATCTCGCTCTCGTGCTCTGTGCTCCTCCTGACCTTGGTTGGCTCCTTCTCCTGCCACATGTACAGAGCCCTCGCAGTCCCCGCCACCATCCTCTTCAGCCCATCTGAGGGGATGCCCAGCAGATGACAGACTGCGAGTCCTCCCGGGCTCAGCTGGATCCGGTGGAGGAGCTCTAGAGCCCCTTGCGCTCCCTTCTCCTGGAATCGGAGGATGTCAACGAAGCCATCGGTGAAGCCAAGGGCGAGGAGGGAGGAGAAGCTGAGTTCTGGTGGAGGAGGATGCTGCGACGGCAACCAGCTCATGGCGGAGAACCGTCTCTGTGAGGAGGAGGCAGAGGCAGCGAGCGTGTGCGATAGCTCGCTGCCCTCCCTCTCGAGCCGCCAGAAGCTCACGCGCCTCATGCTGGTGATGCAGAGCAGCGCAGAGAGGGTGTGAGGTCTTCGAGGAGGGACAAGGTGAGGAAACCATGCGAGGGCCAGAGGGACGAGCGTCTCCCGTTCCTCCTTCGCCTCCTCTCTTGTCACCAGCTTGTCACTCAGAACCTCACACGCCAGCTCCACTGACCCTCCTCCTCCTCGCCCTCCTCGCCCTCCGCGCCCTCCTCGCCCGTTGCGACCTGTACGCTTTGGTGTGGCTGACCTCCGCCGATTCTTGACCTTGTCCATCACGAACTCCTCTTCCTCCTCCTCACTCTCGTCTTCCTCTTCCTCTTCCTCCTCCTCCTCCTCCTGTTTTCTTGCTCGCCCTGCAGACTTTCTCCGTGATGACATCGGCCTCTCGCTGGTCTTCTCCTGACACAAACCATCAACCAACTCCACACAGCAACGCTCCTTCTCCACCTCGAGCTCTTCTTCTCCGCTCTCCCGCCTACACCACCACAAGTCACACTTGCCGCGTCTTTACACAACGTCTTCGTCACCTCCGCTTCCTGCTTCCCTTTGGCGTCTCCTCTGCCTTCTTCGCCTTCTTCGCCTTCTTCTCCTCATCTTTGAGCTCCTTCACCTTGACCCGCAAGCAGCGTTTGACCTCTGCCACAAGTTTCCTTTGCGGGCAACGAAGTCAGACGGAAATTACACCACAGGGATTTCACTTCTTCAACGTCGGCACGTTGACATCTCCCATCATGTCAACATGGTTCAACTCCAGCCAGGCTGCAGCACGGGTCAAACTGAGCTCTTGTTGTCATCCAACAACTTCATACCCAACAGTCCCTTTGCCGCCTCCTCCACATCTGACATGTCTTTTGACAGCTGGTCGGCCGTTCCGTAGCTCTGACATCTCCGTTGGAGCTCTTCGGTTGCCAGCGCTGCAGACTTTTCCTGCGTCCAGACCTCAACACGATTCCCCTTGACTCCGCACCTCTTCTCACCAGCGCTCGCTTTTCTCTCTCAGCTTTCTCCTTCTTGTCTTCTGCACTCATCTTGGGTTTCCTTGCAGACTTTTCAACCTTTCCCTCTTCCTTTGCCTCCGCCAGGTCTCCATTCTCGTTGCTCCCCTGACGACTATCAGCCTGATCTGCTGTCAAGAAGATCAGAACACAGAGCAATCAACAATAGACACCTTTACCCGCAACTTCCTCCTCTCCGTTGCCAGCTGAGACCTTCCTCGACCTTCTTGGAGTCTGCTGTGCCCTTTTGGACTTGGTTTTCTCTCTGCTACCTTCCTCTTTCTCTTTCACTTTCACTTTCTCTTTCTCTTTCTCTTTCTCTTCCTCTTTCTCTGTCCCCTTCGCCTTCCCTTTCCCTTTCCCTTTCCCTTTCCCTTTCCCTTTCCCTTTCTCTTCCGCTCCTTCTTTTCCATTCTTATTCTCATCCTCGTCCTCATCCTCATCCTCATCCTCATCTTCAGCCCCGTCAAGTTGTGATATGCCTGCAAACCTCCCATCGTCTCTCGACAGACTGAGCTGCATCGCATCAGCTTGCATCATCGACGAATGGACCGAGCGAGAGAGCGAGTGAACTGGCTTGACAACATTCTGCATATCATGCAGCGTTATCGCTCCATCGCTACTCGCAAGCGCCAGCAGGCAGCAGGTCTGCTCCGACCACCTCACGTCACCTTCGACCCTCCAGTGCTCAGCTCTCACCTCGCTCGACATTCCCAGCGGCGACCAGGAGGAAGCGACAAACTGAGAGGGGCTGCGAACTTCGAGCATCAGCAGGTGCAGCTCGTCGTCCAGCGTCTCTTCCGATACTTCAACGCCGGACAGCACCATCGGCTCCCCCCGCTCCACCGGCACCTGCCAGTCATCTCACCGACTACCTCAGCAAGTGCTCGCAGGCTCACAGCCTCCATCTTCTCCTTCACCGGGTCGATCACTTGCACGAGCGGCCCGGCAAGCACCGACAGGACGCCGTCCCCTGACCACGCCATGCTGCTCTCTGTTCGGCAAGCGTCCCCCAGCTTCCACTCCATGCCGGAGATCTCCTCCTGCTCCTCCTCTCCTGCCTCGCTCTCTGCGCTTCTGTGTGCATCCTCGCTCTCTGCATATCTGTTCGCCTCCTCTCGCATCCCTGCATGGCTCTCTGCTGGATCCTTGGCCATGTCCGTCCCGTCAACCTCGACCGCTGGCATTGCAGCATCGGGAGCAAGAGGCCGCCGGCCACTCATCCCGCAAGAAGTCTGAGAGCAAAAGGATGCAACGAAACGAGCGGATAGAAGAGGGCGGGAAGGAGCGTACGAGGAGTTACGAGATGTATGGCGAGGCTGGCGCAGGGGGGAGTGCTATGTTGACAACGGTAGCAGAGGAGCCACCAGTTATGGAGGATTCGCCATCCCCTCCAACGATTCGTCGGCCTCTATCTCTTCCCGTTTCTCTCCTCCTCCTCCTCCTCCCTCCTCCTCCCTCCTCCCTTCCCCTCCTTCGTTCCGTTCCCGTCTCCTGCTCGTCCTACCACCATTTCTGCGCCCCGGCTACCCGTCTGCAATGACCCCCACCCACTGGATTGTCCTTAGAATCAAGGTCGAACATAGGGGTAGTAGAGAGTAATCCGTGTACCACCACCCCAATGGGTCGTCGAAAATTGACAATGGCCGATCAGCAGATGAAGGAAGGAAAAAGCTGAGGACGAGGACGAGGACGAGGACGAGGACGAGGACGAGGACGAGGACGATGATGACGATGAGGATCAGTATGCTGCCACGTGAAGATGGAAGGCACTGCGATAGCTTGTAACAAGCTGCGAGCATTACCGCTCCTGGTTCTCGTACCTTGGAAATGTCGGAGCCGCATGGGGTGCAGGAGGAGGAAGAGGGAGGGCGGGGACTGCAAGCACTGAGGGCCTTGCTCTCTCCTCCTCCTGTACCCGATGGCGCCTGGTACGCGGCTACCGCCTCCATGGTCGTCAGTCAGGCAAGGGCTGAACCCTCCAAGTTCCTCACGGACCCTTCCAACCACAGGGCATGCTACCTGATGATAGCTGGGCTACGATCGGGTCTTTTTCGCACTCAGTCCACCCTCCTTGACTGCGTCGCTTCCCTTCTGGACGCTCCTGACCTTGACGTGTTGGAGATCCTCGCTGCTGACGCTGAGACTCCCTTGGCACATGCCGCCCTCGCTCTGTGCGAAGAGCAGGAGCCGGCAGTAGGCAGCCAGCAGGCATCGACTGAGCTGGCACGGGATGGGGGAGAATCGAGGGAGGAAGAGAGGGAGGAAGAGAGGGAGGGGGAGGGGGAGGAGGAGGGGGAGGAGGATTCTCCTGCGAGGGAGGCCGAGGAGGGAGTGGCGGGGCATGGAAGAGCTCCGAGGACTGAGGATGAGGACGTTGCCGCAGCTCAGAGGCATGTGAATCAGATGTGCTGTGAGAACCCGATGGACTGTGAGGAGCCGACGGTGAGAGAAGCAGGTAAGAGGGGTAAGAGGATGGGCAGGAGTAGGAGCAGGAGTAGGAGCAGGGGCTGGGGCTGGGGCAGGAGCAGAAGCAGGAGTAGGAGCAGGGGCAGGGGCAGGGGCAGGGGCAGGGGCAGGGGCAGGGGCAGGGGCAGGAGCAGGAGCAGGAGCTGGAGATTGAAGGTTGATGTTGCCGGGCAGCTTTCAACCTCCTAGCGAAGTTGTCGACTTACATGCTGCGACCTTGCTCGCCGCGACTTGAGAGCCTGCTGTATCTCTGCACCTCAGTCAAGATGGTACGATGTACCATCCAATGCCTTCAGGTGCCATGCTCCTCCTGCTGCTCCTCCTTCTGCTCCTCCTCCTTCTGCTCCTCCTCCTCCTCCTCCTCCTCCTCCTCCTCCTTCTGCTGCTCCCTTTCACGTTCGCCGTCCAGGTCAGCAGCCGGATGGTGTCAAAGACAGCAGGGAGGGCTCTGTCCTGCTTGCTCCAGCTGGAGCTGCAGAGAGACTCGGAGAGAGAGCTGTAAGCGCCCGCGCCTCCTCTCCGTGGTCGCCGTGACGATGTGGGCAGGAGGAGGTTCTTCAGGAGAAGTTTGCGCGGCGTCGGGACGATGGTGGTGGAGACGGAGGTGGATATGTTCATGTAATGGCGCTGGAGGCGATGACGGAACAATGAGACGTTGGCAGAAAGGAGACCGAGATGATGGGAGGAGGAGAAGAAGGAGAAGGAGCAGGAGCAGGAGCAAAGGAGGTTGCTGAGCGAGAGAGCAAGAGGAAGTGTTTGGGACTTGAGCATAGGCGACGAGATGAGTTGTGGAACAAGATCTTCGAGGCTGTGCTTCAGTTGAAAGACGGAGATCTCCCGCGAGAGTGCTGCATGCAGGTGAAAGCAAGTCAGATATCTTTATGTTATGTGTGACGTGCGATTGTTCTCTTCGTTGTCTGTCTGGCGATCATCTCTGATCGACGCATATGCCTGCTCCCTGCCTTCAGCTCTCTTGCGCACCTGAGCCTCATCGCAGACGTCAAGTGTCCGTCTAGCTCTCATCGAAGTCACTCGGCACCTGCTGCAGACTGCGAGAGGGAGGAGGTGCTTGCTACTCCTGCTCCTGCCCCTGCCCCTGCCCCTGCCCCTGCCCCTGCCCCTGCCCAGGCCCCTGCCCCTGCCCAGGCCCCTGCCCCTGCCCCTGCCCCTGCCCCTGCCCCTGCCCCTGCCCCTGCCCCTGCCCCTGCCCCTGCCCCTGCCCCTGCTCCTGCTCCTGCTCCTGCTCCTGCTCCTGCTCCTGCCCCTGCCCCTGCCCCTGCCCCTGCTCCTGCTCCTGATTTGGTTGTAGGACCATCCGAAGGTACGACCTTATGCTCAGCATCCTCGTGTTGCTCAAGAGGTGAGGCTGAGGGGGAGAGATAGAGGAAAGGGAGGAAAAGAAGGAAATGCGGAATGGAAGAGGGTAGGGAGCACTAGAACTTGCGATGGGAGGACGACGAGTAAGAGCAGTTCTCATGGTGTTGCCAGCAACGACGTTGAAGTCCGTCATGCTGTTCTTGAGCTCCTGGTAATGGCTTCAAGGTCGAGTCTACGACTAGAAGAGCCTCAGCTCAATCGATTTTGTAGGACTGAAAACTCTGCGGAGATTGTCCTCCCTCTCGATCAGCATGTCAGTTTGCCTCTCCTCTCCTATCCTATCCTATCCTCTCCCCTGCTCTCCTCTCCTCTCCTGCCCTTCTTTCCTCCTTCTTCCTCCCCCCTATCTTTGTCTGCTTCTTCTTCCTTCTCTTTTTCCTTCCGTTTCCCTCCTAATATTTCCATCCACAGAGTCAAGTCGAAGGTGGATGCGCGAGAGAGGCGAGGGTGGGAGGAAGGAGGAGGAGGAGGAGGAGAAGGAGGAGGAGGAGGAGGAGGAGGAGGAGGAGGAGGAGGAGGAGGAGGAGGTGAGGTGAGGTCCAGGTCACGCGTCCACGTGGGGGGCTATCGACCTCTCCAACATGATGAGACTCTTATGGGAGAGCGAAGACGCGGCGATGATCAAGTGAAACCTCAGAGTGTATCCCGAGCATGCGGGAGACTGAGGGAGAGACTTGGACAGGTCCGGGTTCTCCGTCTTCAAGACTGTCTGCAGCCATCGCAAGGCAGCGGAGGTGACGATCTGCCTGCCTCCTCTCAGCTGACAGTTTAAAGGGGAACGGGGCTGAGAGCTGCCCGCAGTCTCAACTTGACGTGTTGAGAATGATCCCTATGTCGCTCAAGACTGCAATGAAGGTGTTTATCAACTGTTCTCCCTCACTGAGACTGTCGATGACACGTACAAGACATTAGATCCATCACGGGATGTTCTGAACAACAACAACGTCGCCATCGTCAACGACATGTTTGAAGCCTATCAAAAGGTCTACAGCTCGTGTCGACGCACCTTCCTCATGACCTCGGATCAGGCATTTCAATGTTTGCGGCTGAATGCTGCGGAAGACAACTGCAAACCGCTCGAAGCTTTCTTCTCGTGGGCACAACTAGTCATGCTGCTCGTTGACAACATGCTGCAAGTTGGTTCAAAGATCCGTGTCTACATCCACCTTCAGCGGAATGTTGTGTCGGCCATTGGGAGCTTGACGCAATGGTCAGTGAGGCGACTTGTATTCTGCTGTCTTACCTCCCTCTTTTCTCCAGTATTGCCATGATGATGTCTGAGTCGAAAGAAGAGGCTGTGAACAGTGGTGAATGGATGAATCTCACCGAGTCGTGTTTTGCTTCTCTCCTCCGTCAGACTCTCTTCGGGTACAACCATCACACTCCGGCTCCATCTCTGACAAGCTGCGATGCAGGAAGGATGTTGGCATATCAACAGCAGCCTTCCGATGCCTGTTGAGGTATCGCCTCCTGCTCTTTCTCGCTCTCCCTCCCTCGTCATTCTCTCAAACTCTCACTCGTCATGTCTTCAGAGTCTTTGACAACCTTCCCGTCCTCTCATGGAAGTGGTTGGAGCAGACTGCGGTCTCCGGCTCAGCACCCGACGACGACTGCGTCTTCTCACTCTCAGCCAACTCAAACAACGTCGTCGACGTACTAGAGCGAGTTTCCATGTCTAGCAGGCGAGCCATGGCTGTCCGTCCCAACATGCCGAAACTGTTGGACTGACTGGTTGTCTGCAAGTTGGGAAATCCGATGTATATCAGCTGAATTCATCGCCATGGTCCTCACGAGGACGGAAGTGCTGGAGCGAGCAGAAAGCTTCTCCTCTCTTGCCCCTTCCATCTTTCGCGTCTTGTGCAGCTTGTGCGTCGACAAGGTGGACTTTGTGCAGGCGGTGAGAACCCAGTCCGACTAGTTAAAGGACCTTCCGATTCCCCTCCTCTCCCCTCTTACACCTCTTCCTCCTCTCCCCTCTTCTCCCTTGCACCCCCTCTGCCTCCCTTCCTCTCCCTCCCTCTCCCTCCCTCTCCCTCCCTCTCCCTCCCTCTCAATGTCTTCTCAGGCAGCCATCTCATCCTTATCGTGTGTTCACCACATTCAAAAGTTTCTCAGCCCGCAGGTGCCTTCCCCCCTTCCCCTCTGCCCTCACCTCTACCCTCCTGCTCCTCTCAGCTGCCCCTCAGGCTGCCGATGACGTCAGCACGCACGTCTACCGGGGCCTCGTGAACAGGTGTCGCCGCCGCTTGCCCTCTCCCCTTCTCACCTACCCTACCAGCGAGGCGATCGTAAGGCGGGCTTCCATGTCAACCCTGCAGGCGCCTTGTCAAGTTGACCCGCCTTCCCAGCTCTGACACTGCTGGCTCAGAGCTGGGCTGTGAACGACAACAGCAGCTGCTTCCTGCTGGGCAAGTCGCTGGCTGGAGGCACCTGGTGGGCGACTCGGTGTGGAGGGGAGGAGAAAGCCCCGAAGCAGCAGTGGAGCAAGGTGAGAGGAAGGAGAGCGCGCGGTAGTCTCATGCAGGAGCTTCAGATCTGCAAGAAGATCTGCGATGATGTTGACTGGGAGGTTCAGCTTCGAGGGCTCGAGCTCCTGAGGAGGTAGGAGGAGGAGGAGGAGAGAAGGGGAATGGAGGGAGGGCAGGAGGTAGAGAACGACGAGCAGGCGGAGCAGAACGCCGAGGATAAGGACAAGGACAAGGAGAACCACGAGTACGAGAAGTCTTGATGTGTGCTCATGCTTGTCAGGTTGGGAGGGATCGCGGATCCTCCGCTTGTTTCTCCGGGAGGGTCGTGGACGTTGGACATGAGCGAGGAGGGGAGGGAACAGAACGCTTTCAGTGCGCTCTTGCCTTCTTCTCCAGGACGATGTCTTCGTAACAATGGGGGGGGCTTGCTCTTCTGGGAGGCTGACGGGGGAGCACTTCTCGAGTCCCTCCTCGCCTCCTCCGACCGCCCCATCCGCCTCTCGTGCGCCGTCCTCCTCCTCCGCCTTGTGGGTGACGTGAATCAACTTCCCCGTCTCCTCATGACTCCTGCAGCATCAACAACTAGCGAATGAAAGCCTCGAGCTTGTCCGGTTGCCTCCTGGTTCTTTTGAGGTAGGTGTCCCTCCCCCCTCCCTCTCTCCATCTACCCATCCATTCATCTCTCCTCCTCTACCTTCCCTTCTTGCCTCGTACCTGCTGCTTCCTCTGATCAACATGTCAGCTCGCCGCAAGGTCGCAAGGGTTCCTACAAAGGCTTCCTGACCTCGTGCGGCGCTCGAGCTTTATGCTACAGGTTACTCCTCCTCGCCCCCAGCAGCTCTGACATCTGCTGTAGACGCAACAAGGGAGCGCACAGCAAACGGTGGAGCTGACGTGTGGGGAAAGCGAGACCGGCCTGGACTGCATGGACTAGAGGAAGTCGAGCTCCTCCTCCTCCTCCTCCTCCTCCTCCTCCTCCTCCTCCTCCTCCTCCTCCTCCTCCTCCTCCTGTCACGGTTCGGGCTCGAACTCCGGTCCTCAACCCTAATCCCTTTAGTGAGCCCTTGCCTCATCCCCCATTTTATTGGTCCTAGTGCTCCTAAAGTACCCTAGGACCCTCTAGGGAAGTATAGAAATGGGGCACTTTAGTAGGGGATGGGTTATACGTTTCGAATGGTAGGTGGGGTAGTCGAAGACATGGGGTGGGTATTTGAGTGAATATCTTGGGGTGGAAAGGTCATCGAGGGCCCACTTCAGTTGCGGACAGGGGGTGGTTGAGCAAGTGCCAGTGGGTAGGGTAGTCCAATGCCCCTTATTTCTCGGATTTATACACATGCACCCCTCCATGGCCATACACCCTACCCCCTATTTTCTGCACCCTACCCTTATCGAATTTGAAATTATCGACTGACCACCCTACCATTATCGCGATCCCATGGCCTACCACCCACCCTACTCCTAAATCTATAGTAGGAAGTACGATTAATGGGGACCATATGCTAGTCAAACGTTGATTGAAATCTTTCGCGCAGGGGGTTCAAATGTCGACTAAATCTGCATCTCTACCCCTGCAAATTCCATGAAAATTGGGATATTTTTCGAGGAGGGGTACTCAGGATCACCCCCTTTGGAAATGGAAATGGAAATGGAGGGGGAACATGCATGGCATGTTACAAAGGCATGGGCGGAGAGGAAATGCCTTCATAGGGCAATCAGACGAGGAATGAGATGGAGCGGGAGCAGGAGCAGGAGCAGGAGCAGGAGCAGGAGCAGGAGCAGGAGCAGGACATTAGCAGCAGGAGCAGGAGAAGGAGCAGCCGGAGCAGAAGCAGAAGCAGGAGCAGGAGCAGAAGCAGAAGCAGAAGCAGAAGCAGAAGGAAAAGGAGGAATGTTGAGGTTAGGTGTGGCTGGTACCACTGCAGTCGACTGGTCTACAGAGAAGGGTTAGCGAAGCTTCTGTGAAGAAGGAGGAATTCTCGAGAGGAAAGGATAGGTTAAGGGATAGAGAAGAAGGTTAAGGGATAGAGAAGAGGCTTGCAATGCATGGATGATAGGTTTGCAGAAGAACCAAGACAATTAGGTTCTTGATGATAATAAGGAAGTGAAACTCTGGGTATGTAGATACAAAAAGCGAGAGAGCGAGGGCGTGAGGAAATCGAGAAGTACGAGCGCAAGGAAGAATCAAGCAAGAGAGAATTCACTCACGATAGACTCATGGATTGAGCTATCAAGTCATGTGTGCTACAAAGAATGGATTTTCCTCTTGAGGTGGACATCAAAATGCATCGTACTTGGCTCCTTGAATACATCATGTTGAATAAGTTGGTGGAGCAACAAGTTTCCTTTTGAGAGGAGAAATCGTGAACCGATGGGATAACACTTGGCGTATCAGTTTGGTCTTGTGTAAATACTTGTCTTGTCTGCACGATCGAGATGGTTTCTTCGAGCGCAGTGATCGCATCAAACTGGGTAAGTGACTTGGGAGTGCGTCTTGTTGCTTGATTGCTGTGAATGCAGATTTCATTCCTTTCACTTGAATCAGCTTTTATCTGTCTTATCACTCAAGCTCTGCGCTACAAGGGACCAAGGTAGATGCAGCAGGAGCAGAGGGGGGGTGATTGTGTTTCTGACGATCATGTTTCTGACTTGTTTCTTGGGGCTTTAGCGGGCAGGAGAAGTATTACAATGGTTATCGTGAACAGAACATGCTGGGGGTGTTCATCAACTTATGGTTGGAGAAAACTGTTTTCGACTCTTCCATGCTGATTTGAAACTTCAGGTGCGCTGTTTCGTACTTTGCAAAGATCATTCAATCTCAATCGAACAACGATGGCTTCGTGATCTTCACAACGCTGAGATACGTTGACTACTGCATGACGTAATCCTCGCTTTGCTCTCAGTCCTCCCTATCCTCCCTCCTTCCCCCCTCCCTTCATCCATCCTTCCATCCATTTTCTACATCCATCCATCCATGCTGTCAAGCCTTTCCTGTGTCACTTGCTAACGTTCTTGATCTGCAGCTGTCCTATCCTCACACTTGACCTCATGTGGAATCTCGATGCTCCATACAAGGTCACCAGTGCCCTGCTGGTGTTGACGTGCCTGGTAATGCGTTGGGAGGGGAAAGGGGAGGAGAGCAGAGCAGAGAGCAAAGCAGAGCAGAGGGGACAAAGGGGGAGGAGGGGAGGGCAGAGCAGTGCAGAGAACGGAGAGAAGAGAAGAGAAGAGAAGAGAAGAGAAGAGAGAGAACAGAGAAAAAAGTCGGGGAGTAATCCTGGAGTGCTTGCCAGGTGCATGCAGTAGCTTCATTCCTGGCTCCACCTCCTGCCTCCTACGCGTGGTTCGCCATGGGCCTCTGCCTCTTCATCTTCACCTACGTCTTCATCCTGTCGATTGTGAGGGAGAGACTTGATTTCTACACCTTCTGCGCACGAGACAACAACGCCAAGAGAAGTATCAGGTGAGGGTGAGATGAAGAGAGGAAGGGAAGAGAAGGAAGAGAGGGGAGGGATGCAGGGCGAAGGTGATGGCGCTTCCCTGAAAAAAATGAGGGAAGGGCAGATCGGAAGAGATGGAGAGGAACAGGGAGGATTGATGGGAGGGGAGAAGAGAGGGGACTGATGGAGCTTTATGAAAGATACTTGAAGACAGCCTGCTTTTGCTATTTCGGTACATGACTCTTCATTGACGAGTCCTCGGCTGACTTTCCTCGAGGCATCTGGATCTTCTTCCCTGTCCTCTGGATCCTGTCGGACAGAGCAGCAAACTTGATCGGCAGTGACTTGAACCATGTGATCTCTTTTTCTGTAACCGCATATGAGTAACATGCCGCGACCTTTCAGGTCTTTCATTGCATCCTAGATGTCATTGCAAAATCTTGTGAGTTGTTGTTCTGCAATGATGATGATGGCGACGACGACGACGACGACGACGACGATGATGATGATGATGATGATGATGATGAATCGACTAGGTTATGGTTTCGCCCTTCTCTACTTCAAGATGTACTTCGACAAAAAGCTGATAGAGTCAGGAGTGGATGAGGAGGAGTTTGCGAAATTCAGCAAGGAGGTTGTCACAAACAAGAACAAGGACGAAGCTTTGGAGAGAGTATCGGTGAGATGATACTGAGGATTGCGAGGGGGAAGGAGGGGGACGAAGTGGAGGAGAGATGAAGATGGAGGAGCGCGATGGATGCAGGGAGGAAGGGAGAAATAGCGAGAGGACAGCAGTGGGGAAGGGAGGAGCGGGGAGGGAGGAAGAGGAGGACAGAGAGAGGCAAGCAGAAGGAGGAAGTCAGAGGGAGGGATTGAGGGAGAAGAAATCAAGAGGAAGGAATGAGAGAGGAGGAGGAGGTTTGTTGTCCTGTTGATCTTGGTACAGTCGCTCGAGTCAGATGGTCACAAACTTAGAGCGTCGAAGATGGTGGGAGATTACGAAGAAGAGACTGAGGGGTCTGAGATGGACTTGAAGTCGACGCTGAAAGATCGCATAAGTATGCTCCTCCTCCTCCTCCTCCTCCTCCTCCTCCTCCTCCTCCTCCGCCTCCTCCTCTTCCTCCTCCTCCGCCTCCTCCTCCTCCTCCTCCTCGCCTCTTCTCCTCCTCGCTTCTTCTCCTCCTCGCCTCTTCTCCTCCTCGCCTCTTCTCCTCCTCGCCTTCCCTTACGCCTTCCTCTCTTGTTTCTCTTGCTCTCCTCGTCCTCCCCTCTCCTCCCTGACTTCGATTGCAGGAAAGTCTGTCTCTCGACAGGATGCCAAGTCACAGCCTCGTCCTCAGTCTCCTCGTCGGCTGCCGGCCAAGCAGTTCTCCGTGCGATCGAGCGGGAGCGGAGGGAAACCTCCTCAGTCTGCCTCCTTCTCTCCTTCCGAAGGCACCACCTACACCCTCCGTGACTTCGCTGGCCGCCCACAAGCGTCCATGGAGGAGGCGTCACTTCACTACGATGTGAGGGCTGTGGTGATGTTGAGATAGGAAGGGGAGGAGAGGGAGAAAGAGAGGGAGAAAGAGAGGGAGAAGAAGAAGAAGAAGAAGCACAAGAATCAGTAGCAGCAGCAGCAGCAGCAGCAGCAGGGAGGAGGATACTTGTTTGCTGACGACGATTGCAGAGTTCTCCCAGGGAGCAGCAAGGAACGTACCAGGCCAACAGAGTTCCTTCCATGCACCAAGATGACCAATCGGACGAGGAGAGCGACGTAAGAGCTGAGGAAAGGAGGAGGGGGAAGGAGGAGCAAGTGACGGGGTGAAGAAGGAATGGAGAGGAGAGAGGAGGGCAGAGGAGGAAGAAGAGACGAGGAGGAGGAGGAGGAGACGACGACGAGGAGGAGGTGGTGGTGGAGACGACAAGGAGGAGGAGACGAAAACGAAGAGGATAATGTTTAGGACAGGCCGCCTACCTGCAGCGAGCGAAGCAAGCGTACATGCAGGCGAAGAGCGGGCATGAGAGGAGGAGATCAAGGGGCCCTCGAAGCTCTCCGAGAGATCAGACGAGACGAGGGCCGAAAGGTGAGGAGGAGGAGAATGAGGGGGGCAGGAGAAGGGAGGGGAGGG